GATAATCCCAGACCCCAATTAGCCTCTTTCACCTCTGAGCTCAGCTGGGTAGTTCCACTGATCTGGTTATGTTGTGGCTTGTATCTAGATGTCCTGCCAAAGCTCATAGGTTAGGCTTTTGGGAGGTGGCTGGATCATGGGTGCATGATACTGGATTATGGGTGTGTTATGTTAGATTAGCCTACTTACTGGTTAGCATAGTTTTGGGTGTGGATAATGGGCCCACCTGGGTGTAGGTGGCACCAACAAATAGGCTTGTAGTTTGAACGGAATAAAAAGGGAAAGGAAGGCTTGCTGCTTTTTGCCTCTTGCCTGCCATGCCATGATTGTTTCTCCTCTCCCATGCTACTCTACCTTGGAACCAGCCTACTATGGACTGAAACCTCTACAAACTGTGAGCTGAAATAAACCCTTCCTCCTTTAACTTGTTAGTATTGAGTATTTTGTCACAGCAACGAGAGAGTAAGACAGGTTGGTATTGATCGCTGCGCCCTTGGAAGACTGTATGTTCTTGGTAAGTGATCTGGCTTCTCTGGGCCTCAGAGTCTTGAGTAGTTTTGTTCTGAAGATGGTATGGGGAACAGCTAGCATGGAACCAGGATAAAGGGCTCTCTGAATCTCAGCAGTGTGCAGCTCTGTCACCCCACCCAGCCCAGCATCCAAGGTTTCATTTCTCAGAGCAGTAGGGGTAGCGGTTAGAAGGCTGGAGCAAGGTGAAAAGAAGCCCAGGACTGGGGGCTAGGAGGAAGTCTGTTCCCAGGCTAGCCAGTGGCCAAGGCTCTCCCAGGAGGTCCACGCAGGCTGCTGGTATCCTGAGTGCCTTGGCTGGTTAAGGCCAATCAATAATGCTCAGCTTCTGCCCTGGGCTTGAAGGTCCCGAGGACAGACTGGCAAATGCTGGGGAGGGCATAAGGGGTAAAGAGCAGCAGCCAAGGAAGCCCAGCTACTGTGGAACCTGGGCAGGATGAAGACCCAGTCCTGGACTCCTGCTGCGTGCGGGCACTAGAACCTCCTCCTAGTGCCACCGGCCCAGCTGCCCCTGAGCCAGGTGCTCAGTACAGGCACTGTGTGGCTCAGAGCAGCCACCGGCAGTGACTGAGTGAGAGGCGCAGTGGGCTCCCTGGTGGCAAAGCAGTGAACCCCCGTGGGAGCGCCTGTGTGATGCCCAGTCCTCCTCACCCACGGTCGAGGTGGCTGGATCCAGCCAACTTCTAGTGCAGGCTCCACGCCTAGTGGCTCATTTGAGCCTCAGTTTCTTTATTGGTGAAAAGCTCTAAGCATTCTCCTAACTCCTAAGGCCACTGTATTCATCTCCTGAGATGACCAATGTGAAAGGGTGTGATGGGGGAAAAAGAGAATTACCCAAGCACTTTCAATGCATCATTTCTTTTAACCCCATTACCTACATCCCTAAAAGCCAAGAGCAGTGAGTTCCCCACTCATGAACATTCACATTCCGAACTTTCACAGGTGTCCTGTATCACTTTGTTAGATTATGAACAAATCTGACTTACAAACATTCTCCCAGAAGTCAGGGACTTAGTGTAATATTTTGTCCCATTTTATGAGTATGCTATGGTTCAGAGAGGGTAGGTCACCTGCCTGAAGTTGCACAGCTGAGGGAGACAGGCTGGGACCTAGGGTTGTAGAAATCCAGACCCGAGCTCTTCACCTCTGCCCATGCTTTCCACGTGAGGTCACAGCTTTGGTTAAACTCTTCCTCGAAGTCGAGGACCCTTCTTGTCATTACTGTTATTTTGTAAAACCCAAGGCAGGAGAGGGACGATTCTGAGAAGTTGCCTCTCTTTTGCCCTGTGTCCTTCTGCAGTTTCAGACACTCAGGATTCCGACGTCTGGGGAACCAACCTAAGAAAGCATGAAACTAATCTTTTCAATGTTAACGTCTCCTAGGCGTCGCGTCAGTATTTGGGTTGGACGAAACCCTGTTATCATAATGCAGAGGAAGCCCCAAATTTAATAAGGCCAAGACAACTCGAGCAACACAAGAAACATAACAGGATATTGCAAAGAGATTAGGAGCTTCCTGCGGACTGCACAGGGGGCAGGTGGGGGACAGACGACGAGGTTTACACTGGAGGCCGGAGCGTCCCCAGTCCAGGCCCGGCCTCAGGACCAACACGCTAGGTCCGGTCCCAGCGAGCTGAGTCCACTGACTAAATGCAAACCAGCTGGGAGGACGGTGTTAGAGTTGGATGGGGAGAGAGCAGCTTACCTCATGAAAGGGCTGTGGAAATGGCTGCTGGGAACATAATAAAAGGATTAACTGCTCTTTTAGTGGGCCATTTACTCTTCAATCAAAATGTCTCATCTATTTCCTGTCCTCCAGAGGCTCCGGGCCCAAAATTCCTTTGTCTATTACAGCGCATGGTAGCAGAGGCCTGTCATGAGAAATTAATAATTTTATAGGGAAGGGAGACTGTATTTATCTGGGTGCAGGCCGGGGCCCGCCTGGTCCCCCGGGTTACCCACCGCGCTGGCACCCTGCGAAGAGCACTCTGGTCTCCCATAGCAGCAGCAGGAGGCACAGGCAAGGAGAGGCGATCACTGCTGCTACCAGCTGCGGGCGGTGGCACCCAGCAGGGCCAGCCTGCAGGCCCGAGGAATCCTCAGTGTAACACAGAGCAACACAAACAAGGACCCCAAAGTTTAGAAAATGTGGGTTCAAACCCCACTCCATCTGTAACTATTGGTGTAACTATAAGGTAATAACTGGGAAGTTATTATTATTACTATGGTGATTCTTAGACTTTACTATTATTATTGCCATTATTGTTGTCTCTGACTAGCTGTGTGATCTGGGGTCACTTATACAGTCACTCTGAGCCTCCGTTTCCTGATATGGAAAACAAGGGTTAATATCTACCCAAGAGCTGTGCTGCAGACCACACGCAGCTACCACCGAGAACAGTACCCAGGCACAGTCGGTACTCAGCAGCTGCCTGTACTATCACCACACACTCCCAACCATGAAGAAGCAAGACCAAGGGTTCTAGCAGCAAGCAGGAGGCTGTGCAGACGCACCAGGACTTTGTTTCCCTATCTGTAGAAACCCTGAGCTTTGCAGAAGTTTTCTTTCTTTTTGCTGTGCTGTGGATTGTACCTAGGGCCTCCTCATGCTAGGCAAGTGCTGTACCACTGAGCTAGCCCTTTTTATTTTGAGACAGGGTTTCTCTAGGTTGCTCAAGCTAGCCTAGAGCTTGTGATCCTTCCGCCTTAGCCTCCAGAGTTGCGGGGATCACAGGCATGCACCACAACACCTGGCTTTCTAGACTCTTGTAAAGAACAGATACAACTGTCAGTGAGCTCATACACCTCCTCCATGAAGCCCACAGGGGGGTCCCTCTCCCTGGGCCTGTACAAACTCCACCGCAGGATCTGTCACTCGTCCTGATCCTTAAAGGCTCGGGTGCAAGGTCTCCTGGAGCAAAGACCGCGGAGATCCAGGTCTGGGTCCCCAGGGCCAAGCAGGAGCCAGGAGTACGTCAGCCCATGTCCTGTGGAGTCTGGAATCAAACGCGGCCCTGGCAGGCTGATCCTGTGCTGTGGCGCTAAGTAACCCAGCCCCTTCGCGGGGCCTCCATTTCCTAGGTTGGAAAGTGGGCAGGGAAGACCTGGATTATCTGGAGGCCCCGTCATCTTGGGGCTCATGGGACCATGCAGCCTCCACCTAAGCCCCTAAGATGCCAGCAGGGACACTCACATGGGGTGACATGACAGACAACTGCAGCTCAGTGCTGTCACTCAAGAGAGGCCGACCCATCTGTCGTCTAGCAGCCCTGGCCTGTGGACTGTTGGTCATCTCCTTCCAGGCACCTTCCATCAAGCCCTTTGTCACAAGACCCCAAGTGAGCTGGGGATGCCTCAGCCCGTCACCCTCCTAATAGCCAAGACTCAGCCAAAAAAGGTACGTAAGTCCAGTTTCCCTTCCCTCCAAGCCCAGGATGCTGGCCCGGCTCCCTCCTCCTCCTGTCTGTGAAGTGAACCCCTTCTCATTTTCAAGGCCTAATGTGCTGACCCTGTATGTGCCCAGCTTACAGTGCCACAGGCAGACAGGCCCTGGTAGCGAGCACTGGCCCCAGGAGGATGAGCAAAGTGAGTTTGAAACTCCTGCCTCCTGTCTGGCCCCTACGAACTCTACCCTGGGCTGAGCAGGCAGTACACAAGCAGGGAAGAACTGGACCTTCGCTAGGACACCAGCGCCTGGAGGCCAGACATGCTGCAGCCCACCAGCTGGAAAGGCTGAGCTGCGGCCGGGGTGGCCCAGGCTTCCTGAGCTGTGCTGCACACACCCAGGCCCAGCCCTTTAGCTCCTAGGCAGGCCAGGTGCTTGCTCCCTGGGGGTGGGGCTGGGACCTGGGGGCTGGGACAGTAATGAGGTGGAGGTATCAGGGACTGAATTAAACTCTCAGCCTCTGATGCAGATTTCTACACAGCAAGAGCAGAACACAGAATGACTGGCTAGGATAGTGAGGCCAGGGCGCCTGCAGGGGCAGGTATAGGTGTGTGCATGTGCACACACACACACTTGCAGCGTGCAAACACATGTATCTCTCTGAACCCACAAACCTTAGCCTCAACCCCAGCAAAAACACTGGCAGTGGTACACAGGGCCTTGACCTTAACTGGAAGCTTGTCCTGGGGACCCACAGCTCTTAGGCCAGAAACCTAGGAGGACCCAGCAGCGCAGGCAGCTCCAGGAGAAGGCCTTGAAACCCACCCCTGGGAAGGATACCCTGCAAAGACCCAGTGCTAGAGATCAGACCCCCACCTATCATCTGCCCATGAGCAGGAGGGACAGAGGGCACGTGCAAATGAAACTGAAGGCAGGTCAAGCCTGCTTTGACCTGTGGCACACCAAAGCACATCTCCTACACATCTAACGAAGTGCCTGCCTGGGTTCCCGGAGACACGGCGCTGGCCATCTCGACAGGGAGCTGTGCTGTGGGGCAGGGCGGCAGGGCAGGCAGCTTCGGACTCACCATGCACTTGTTGGGCTTCTCACCCGAGTGCACCCTCATGTGGATAAGCAGCTTGTAGCGGGCGTTGAAGGGCTTGTAGCGGCGCACACAGCCGGCCCAGAAGCACGTGAAGTCCTCGCCCTTGCGCTGGTCGATGTGGCTCTTCTCGATGTGCCGCACCAGCTCCTCCTGCTGCTCATATGCTGCACAGCAGTCCACCCAGCGGCAGGCCTGCCGCCCGGCCACCAGCCTGCCCGCCAGGCCCAGGCCTCCCAGGCCCGGGCCAGCTGGTAACTGAGGCAGCGGGTAGGGAGGTGGCAGGCCCTGCTGGTGAGTCCCGAAGAGCTCCGAGAACTCGTCCGAGGGCTCCTGCTTCAGGAAGCCCGCCTTCTGGCACTCTTCCAGTTGCACACTGCCCTCCTGACTCTCAGTGGGTGCAGGGCCATGCCGGGACCTCTTGAGAGGGCCCCCGACGTCTCCTGGCAGAGGAGGGCTCCGGAGTCCATTTACACAGGAGACTAGAGCTGTCTGGGAGGAGCAGATGATCGGGGTGATGTCGGAAGAGACACAGGGTGAGGTGGAGGCTGAGGAAACAGGAGGCAGGCCCAAGAGGCAGCAGCGCTTCAGGGTGCCCTTGGGCAGGTGGGCCTCAGGCTGGAGGCCCAGGCCCGGGCTAGGCTCACTGCCCAGAAGGTAGCAGGAAGGGGCAGGGTTGGCGAGGCCCCGGCCCGGGAGGTCCAGCGCTGTGTGCAGCCCTGTGGCTGGCGGGGCCCGGCAGTGGGTCGACAGGGGTGTGTGGGCTTCCATGACCTGGAAGTCGGGCAGGGACTCCTGCTTGATGTGTTGTGTGGCTGGCAGGCCGCCATTCACATAGGAGGCCTGGGGCCTGGGTGACCTGGAAGATAGTGGCCAGAGAAGTCATGAGAGGGTGGCACTGCAGAGTGGAGAGGCCCAGACAGCAGCCGGCAGGGAAGTGAGGACCAAGGGGTGAAGAAGTCAGAGGAGGAGAGGGACACTGAGGCCTGGAAGCACAGGAAGAGGAGACTGGCTGGCTGAGAGCAGAGACTGGCTGCCTGAGCGCAGGGAAGACTGAGAAGGGAAGGTGGGAGGGAGAGGATGGGAGCAGCCGAGGCAGGAGATGACAGGTGAAGGCAGAGGCTCCAGAGAGGGAAGCTCTTCTTTTGCCAAAACCCAGCCTGGCCTCCAGTCTGGGGGCCACCCCACCCCGAGGCTGCCTGTGTCTGCCCATCCCGCCACTGCCCTTGTGAGTGCTGCGGGAGGAAGCCAGAGGCTGGCGTTTGCAGAACACCCAGACCCAGCAGGTTTATAATTCCATGCATGTTCCCTTTCTTAACTTCTGAAGATATTAACTATATGAGGTTTTGTCCCAAGCAGTCTGTCTTCCCCACTGCCCACGTCCGCAGTAGGGGTCTGAGGCATAGCCCAGGTGAGAGGGCACCTTAGCCCTAACTGAAGGAACCCCCCAGCCGAGCATGGCTGGGAATTTCAGGCCTGTATACCATGACTAAGAGAAACTGTAATTCTGAAGAAAAGTCAGAGCAGGCCAGGCAGGGCCCAGACGGGGGCGGGAGACCAGGTCTGAGGCCAGGCTCAGCTCTGCCCCAGCTGTGGATCAGGCAGGGTCCAGGCCTTTCTCCTCAGTGATAGCAAAGTGATCTCCTCAGAGACCCAGGTGGCGAGGCTGAATGTCCATGGTGGCTGCTTTCACCACCATGAGGTGGTGAAGTGGCAAAGTTTCCTAGAGGCCCTCTCCCAAGCACAGGACATGCTCCCTGCCCTTCACACAGCCATGTTCAGAGAGATGAGGGGGTTCTCAGACGGAGGTGCCCACTATGGGGGCGGGGGGCAGTAAGATGCAAGCAGAGACACCGGGCTGGCCTGGTTTCGGAGCACTCCAAAGAGCACAGAGGTCAGGACGGTGATGGGGGCAGAGACTCTCCCCACTGGATGGCAGAACTGGAGACCGGGTTTTGTGCCCGAAGTCTCAGAGCCCATGTGACCTCCCTTTCTCAGAGCCTCAGTTTCCCACCTGTGAAACAAGGACCAAGAACACAGAACTCAGAGGGTGCTGGTCAGGATTAAGTGACAGCACTCTGGGAAGGAGATGGCAGGGCTCATGGTGCTGTTACTACTACTGCTACACCAAGGCTTTCTGGGGCTCTGTGTAGCCACAGCTGTGCGGTCCTCGCTGGTCTCTCTGTTCCCCAAGATGGTCTGGGGCCCAGGCCCCTGCAGGTGCAGCATCCTCACTCCACCACTTAAAGAAGGGAGAGGAGCATCAGCCAGAGAGCCAGCAGAGCCGGGAGAGGAGCCAAGAGGGCCCTCACCACCTGATGGCTCCTGGGGCAGGACACAGCACGGGGCAAGAAGCCCTCTGTGCCAGGGAGCCTTGAAGGTTGGCCACCATGTGAGCTCTGAGCTGGCCTTTCCTCCTCAGTCAACTCTTCCTCATCTGAGATAACTCTGCAAGAAACCACCTCAAGCTAGGCGTGGTGGCACACGCCTATAAGCCCAGCCCTCAGGAGGCTGAGGCAGGAGGATCGCTGCCAGCCTGAACTACATAGCAAAACCCTGTCTTAACACCTCCCCCGCAAAAAGCCACATCAGATTGTAAAATGCAGACACGAGCCTTTACAAAACAATCTTTGTGTCCCTCATAACATCCTGGCAAAGCAGGAGGGTCTAGAGCAAGCAGTCCCACGACTTCCTGGACCTCAGTTATCCTATGTTTCCCATGAGCCAGGCAGGCTGACGGCCCTGGCCCTTGTCCCCTGGGAGTGTCCACAGGAAATGGTGGGAACTGGGACATACCTGTGAGGGTGGGGGAAATGCAGCAGCCTCTCGCAGGCAGGGGAGTGGCCCTGGGGCGGCGGGGTTCCCACTGGGAGAAACAAGCTCTGGTGGCAGGCGGGGCCGGAGCCCTCAGCAAGGTCCAGGTCCAGCAGGCCCTTTTCCGAGCCGGGGGTGCAGCGGCCGTAGCTCCCATTCACTAGGCAGGGGCGACAGGGAGAGAAGAGGCAAGTGAGTAGGGACAGAGCACCTGGAGCCATGTGAGGGGCCCCGACCTCTTGTTTACTTCCACACCCACTCAGCAGGGTCGGTAATAAAACATCCAGTTCTCATGGGCAGATGCGAAAGCTCCAGGGATTCAAGGAGCATTGCATAAACACCAGGGGCCTACTGTGCACCAGACAGGACCCTAGCAGCAGGAAACCTGGGGAACAAGACACACTCCTGGTGGTCTTGTTGTCCCCAGAGCTCGTGGTCTGCTGTCCCCAGGCCACCACATTTCAGTCACTCAGGTGCTCACCAGTGACAGGGCTGGCACACACAGGGCTCGTGGTCTGCTGTCCCCAGGCCACCACATTTCAGTCACTCAGGTGCTCACCAGTGACAGGGCTGGCACACACAGGCCACCGAGGAGAAGCCCCTGCTGTCCCCGCTGCTCAAGCCCCATCTCCTCTGCTTCCTGGAGCACGCTACGCCATATAAAGGCAGGGTGTGGCCCAGATGTGACGGCCACTGGCTTGTCTGGGCCCTCACTGCCCTCTGGGGAAGGGGTGAGTGCTCTTACCCCAATCCCGCAGAGTAGGAACCAGAGGCTCAGGGAGGTTGCATCACCCACCCAACCACACACATCTGGTATACTCTGAGCTGGGTTTCTGGCCCACCCTGTCAGACCCAAGCCCCGAGTCCCAGTCGCTGTGTAATGAGAAGTGGCCTTTCAGAGAGCCCAGCATGGGGGGGCGTCCACCTCCCCAACCCCAATCGCAGCCCTCCCAGGGCAGAGTCCCTTCAGTAAGAGGTTATCTCCGGGGTTGAGGCCACAGGGTCATCACTTCCCAGCTCCCACGTAGGTGAGGGGCTCCCTCACCTCAGCCCCATGCAGCAGCTACCCAGCTACCCAGCTACCCAGCCCAGCCCAGCCCAGCTCAGCCCCAGCTCCGAGCCATCCTGCCTCTGCGGCTGCTTGGCCAACTGCTCACAGGCTTATATTTTAATAACTTGGTTGTTTTTCAATTAAAAAGAAATCCCTGGTAACAAATGTGGATGGGCCAAGTTAATGAGAGCAGGCTGCAGCCCATTTAACTCTGTCTCTGCTTGGCTGTCCTTGCCCTCTCCAAATCCTTTCTGCATGCTGTTTTATTGTCCCATGGAGGCAAACCCTGGGACTGGGCCTTAGAAAACTGGATAATTTTATGACCATTAACAGCATTTGGAGCAGAGAGTGCTTGATCATCACACGAGGCTATTTCACCAGGGTCTTTCTCCTGGTGGGGCAGTGGGGAGCAGGTGGTACTGAGCTTCCCTCCAAGACGCGCTGGCCTTGGAATGGTGGCACAGACTGGCATTTACCAAGCCCTCTCAGGGCTGAGGCTGGCACAGTACAGCCCTTTTCCAGGTGGGAAAACCACAGTTTAGAGAAGCGACCCATCTCCGACTCGGCCTGGGGTTCCCTAAGAGGCCAGGCCATCTTGCAAAGTGGTTCTGTCAGACCTCTCAGCCCAAGTACTCTCCTGCTTCCTCTCAGTCTACTGATGAATAAGTGCAGACCCCCCAAATAAACATCCCCAACTGGGTCCCCAATAAAGACCAGAGTGGTTAAGTGGTTTGCCAAAGTCACACAGGGAGTAACTGGCTGAGCTGAAATCAATCAAACCCATCAACTCTCTGGGACAAAAGAATCCTTATCAACAAACCACTGGTTCTGTTAGCTGCCTCTGCACTGGAGACAGTTAAGAAGCTTTCGATCTATTAACAAGCCAACTTTGGGACAGAGCCTGCCGGGTCACAGCTGGACACTGGTTCGTGCTCCAAGCCCAGTGAAGCCCTTTCCTGCTATTCCCCAAAAGTACCTGGGGAAAGAGGACTCTGAGCACCACCAGCAAGTGGCTGCCTGAGGTCAGCAGCAACTGCTGGCAGAGCCAGGACCCACACCGAGGTCTCCCAAAGCTCATGCCAGATTCTGCCCCAAGCCACCTGCTTTTTTGACGACTGGACATTAAACTAGAGGCTGTATGTGTGTCCCAGAGATGCTGCTGCCACTGGAATGATGCGTATACTGTCTGCCATGGGCCAACCTGCCAGGAAAGATGTGGGCGCTGTCTGCTGCCTGATACCACATGACCCCAATGGGCAGCCCCCTCCTGTTCACACTCAATCTCTGAGGAGAGAGGACACTCCTGCCCCGCTGTCCTGAGGCAAGAGAGGGGTGCCCTGGAAGGGGCTGGCACCAGGCAGCCACCAAGAATGGACCTAGGACCTGGCCTTCCTCACGCAAAACAAAACTCTTTTGGAAGGCTGGAGAGTATGGGTTCTATGTTCCTATTTATGAATTGGTGAGGAATCCTAGAATATCAGGGCTGGAACTTTCTATTTCATTAATAGATAAAGCAACTGTGAGTTGGAGAGGGAAGAACTTTCCTGGGTCACACAGCAAATCCCAAGCAGACCCAGCACTGGCACTTCTGAAGTTCAGTAGGAATTTGGCCTGGTTTTCTCACCAAGCCTCAGTTTCCTCATGTCATAAGGTCATGGTAACAGATGAGATCACAAATCCAATGCATCTGGCCTGATACTTCCCTTGCAGTAGTCACGAGAACAGAAATTGTTATGCGAATTATTCCTTCAACTTCTCTCAGCTCACAGCAGGGAGGCAGGGCCCTGCTGAAGAAGCATTCTATCCCCAGGAAAGTCAGATCTGGATGACCCCATGGCCAGACTCAGAAGGACAAACTCCCAACACTTGGTATTCACGTAACAGAACCAGGCAACCCGAAGGAGTCACAGCCAGCCAATCTGAAGCAAAGGGCTCCAGCTACACACCAGAGAGCTTTGCAAATTATCGTAATGACTTGGCTATAAAGTGGCACCACATATAAGGTGACTCCCCACAAGAATTTTAATTTATGCTGAAACCTGCCAAGTCTGCACGAGTGGACAAAGATTCATTCAGTCTCTCCAGCCCAGACATATCTCCTTGCAGCCTCAGGGGCAGCCAGCAGCTGGGGCCAAGAAGAGCTTCACCATCACAGTATCTTGCTCACCACCTTTAGTGTCTACCAGGTACCAGGCTGGGGACAGCGAACCACACTTCACAGTTTATGAAAAATGGTCACAGCCATCACCCATGAGCTCAAATCTCCCAAGCTCATCCAGTAAGTGTAGAACTCAGACTTGCCTGGCTCAAAATCTCATCGTCTGTAAAAAGTAAGACAATCAATAAATTCAGCCTTCTGGGCCTACCAGTCTTGTTCCCAACTGCTCCAATCTGCTGTGGTTCTGTAAAACGTAGCCATAAACAATATGCAAGCAAGAGCACGGGATTGTGCTCCAATAAAACTTTATTTAAAAAACAAATCCCTGGTTCTTGGGCTGTTGACCTGCCAATCCCTGAACTTCCGCAGTTACAGAGACATGAAACAATTCATGCTTTCCTGCATCTATAAAACTGGGTAGAATTGATGACATGAAAATGAAATAATGTAACAGGGCTGACTCTAGTGGGTATTCAGGAAGGGGGGCTGTCCTCAGCCTGGCTCTGGGGGCCTGAGCCCCCATGATGCTTTGCTGCCTACACCTTCACCATCCACACCTTCACCATCCACTCGGGCCCAATCCCCCCTGCACCCCTGGGCCCTCAGAGCCCAGCAGAAGCACACATCCTCCTGGACTGCTCCCCATTCAGTTCTCCCTGAACTCCCCTGCCATGTGGCCCCCAGAAGTCCCAGTGGATGCACCGGGTACCCTAGAGAGTGCCCCTCAGCTCACCAGCCAGGCTTGAGACATGGCACCTCCACCCTATAGAGTTGGCTGCTGATACCTGTACTGCTGCATGGCTGCTTTTCCTCTTCTGCAGGTCTGTGGGAAGCCTCAGGGTAAGGACCTTGGAGCCCCAGAGCTTCCAAATGTCACCATGTCCCTAGATGTGATTGTCCCCCAACTACTTCACCCACAGAAGAGAAAACCCAGGCCCAGGGTGAGGATAGGGCTTGTCCCTGTCTCACACCACAGGCAGGATCTCTAGACCTGGACATCACTGAGGACAACCCCTCCCACCCAGCACAGCCAGGGCCATATCCAGTGGCTGGAAACACTGAAAGGGTGGCAGCTGGGTGGACGGTCTCAAACTCATTTTCATGCCTACTCTATGCCAGACACCATGACTTAGAGGAACTGCATAAGCTCTTGTCACACACGCCCCTAGGATGACGCTCCAGTCCACCATCAACTTTCTCACTATTGGGCCCTGGATGAGTTACTTCACCCTTCTGAGCCTCAGTTTCTTCTGTGAAATGGGGCTAAGAATCTTAGCTGCAGAGGGTGGGGTTGAGGAGATTAAATGAGATAGTACATGGGGCACTGCCTGGCATGGTGCCTGGCACTGATGGCACTTTGAGAAAGGTCCCTCTGTTTTGGACAGGCCAGCAGACAAGGTCATAGCTTCCTTGGGCTGGGCCAGCTTCCCTGGGCAGTGAGTGTGATCAGCCACTGAAGGAAGGGGAGCTTGGCCAACAGGGTCCTGCCCAAAACTCTTCACAGGGGGGTGAGCTCAAGGTCCGAACAGTGAGTCAGGGCATAGTAGAGCTGGGCAGCAGCCCCTCTCTGGGCCTCAGCTGTCCCCTCTGAGCAGGGAATGCTGGCAGTGGCAGGAGGGACACCGTGGAGGTCATAGAGCACAGTCACACTGCTCCCACTTCCAGGGTCAAAGGGCGAGCAGCACAGGCAGAGCCCAAGCTGCACCTCCCTCCCAGGCCCTTTCTGCCTCGCCAGCCTGCTGTGTCACCCCATTTTTCCTCTTCATGAACCCCCAGGGCCTGGTGACCAGAGTGATTACTCTTCAGCCAGGCCCTCCTTGCTCGAGCCGCCTTGCAGTTCATGGCCATCAGGGGGCCCGTAACCTGGGCAGGGCCTCCTGAGCGGCAGCTCCTGAAGGCCAGGGCCTCACGCCGGGCTTACGGCCGCCCACCACCTCTTATCCCAGACTGC